CCCCTCTTGCCAGCCCCAGCTCCGTTCTCCCTGCCAAGCCCAGTGACAGCTCCTCACCGGACTGATCCATCCCTGCAGGCAGCAGCCAGGAACTTCCAGGATGTTGTCAACTGCTTGGAGCTGGTCCCAGGCACAACTGAGAGGGACATGTACCTGTGGCAAACACGCGATGCTCACTGACGCCTACCTCTGCAGGGCCGCGGAGACGGGCAGCCCAGCAGGGCAGCCTGAGCCCAGCACAGGACGCAGCTCTGAGCACTCAGAGGAGGCAGGAGCAAAGACTAAGCCTTTCCCTAACCCCAAAAGCCCCTCCAGACCCAGCTGCCAGGCACAAGACACCAGGGACGTGCTCCTAAAGCCAAGCCAGCTCCTTCTGCCTCAGCTGAGCCTGCAGCCACGCAGAGCGGGTATCCCAGCAGAGGCCAGTGCAGCTCCCAGCGCCCTCCCGGACTGTGGTCACCGATAAACCTGCTATGGGCGGTCCCTGAGCATCACCTGGTCTCCGGGTCCATCTTGACGAGCTTATGCCTGTTCTTCTTACGCTCCCAGTGCTTGTCCAGCCGATGGGAGGCCAAGTGGATGACCTGGCAGGCCACGGCGCTCTCGGAGGTTGGGTCCCTGGCACACAGCAACCGGTAGCACTCAATCTGCGCCCGGCCGCCTGCAGAGAAGAGCAGGGCAGACAAGCCCTCGTTGCTGGGTCCTGTGGGGCCAGACAGCGCCAGTGCTCTCACACTGGAGATGTGGTCGCTGAGCCGGGCGAGGGGCATGGCTCCCTGGGAGTGCTCGCTGAGTGCCAGGATGCAGGCCGTGGTGTCCTCGCTGCCGGTGACAAAGATGTTAAGGGCGGCATGGCCGGGCACCTCCACCGCACCCAGCCGCCGCACGCAAGCGATCTCCCGCCCGTGCAGGGAGGCCAGGAGCACCTGCTGCTCGCAGGGCTCGGCCTTGCGGCGGTACAGCATCACGTCCCCACACTTGACAAAGGCGAAGGCCTCAGCCGAGGGGCTGCTGAAGTAGCTCCAGGAGCGGTGCCCCCCGCCGCAGGGGATGCAGTGGAGGTTCTCTCCAGTCCTGCTGCTCCACACTACAAAGTTGTCAGCGTGAAAGCCTAGCATGACCAGGTCGCCATCTGGGGTGAAGCGCAGCTCCTCGATCCACTGCAGCCCTTTGCAGGGCCTGTGCTTCCGCAGGACCTCCAGCTGCTGGCCCTGCAGGCGGAGCTGGCGATAGAAGCCATCCCGACCGGTGCTGTAAATGTAGCCCCTGTGGCAGGTCACTGAGGTAACGCCTGTCTTCCCATGGAGCCCGAAGAGCACGGACAGAGGGGCCTCAAGGGGAAGAACCCCTTTCTGCAGCAAGCAGGAGGGCTCCGACTCGCCACAGGAGTCCTCGCCACCTGGGTTGGTGCCGCCATTGGTGATGCCAGTGCCTTCCGCAGCCCAGCCTGGGGAGCTGCTGCAAGGGAAGAGGAGGAGGGAGCCCCGGCGGTCCCCACAGACCAGGAGCCCTCCCTGGGGCAGGAAGGCTGCACAGGTATGCCAGCGCTGCTTGCAGGGGGGCAGCAGGTAGCGTCCCCTGAGCTGCACCTGGGGCGCCTGCCCGGGGCGGTGGGTGACGTCCAGGCAGAGCATCTCCCCGTCAGGCCCGGAGGCCAGG